TGACTCACCATCCTCTAGTCTGATCAATACCCTCAGCAATGAAGTCTGCAGGGAAGGATTGTTCAAATACTTCTTTGTTCTCAAAAGGATAATGGACTTGTGCATAAGGCATACTGCAAAAAGAAAGATAAAAAGACTGTTATAAATCTCAAGAGCGCACAGAATGCATGCACACTATCTACCCTGGAAGCTATGGTAATACARTAATCCCATGCAACTTGGAGGAATTTGTAATACCATCGAAATGTCAATAGACTTTACCAATTCATTGTAAAACATGAAATTGAATGTAAACCTAGCATTTATAAGTTTATTTTGAGATTTTAAACTTTTTTTGGCATTGCCATGGTAACCATTAAAGTACACTGCAACCTTACCTTCCACTTTCAAACCAGCAATCAAAGACTTCACTGACTCTTCTCAACACCCCTCGACCAGTCTTGGATGGGATAGTGATGTCATCRACACTGCAACAACCAATATTTATGTTCCTCAGTGATATTGTTACAGTACAATGYTCAAAGGTATGACCAGATTGATTTTAATGTATTTGCATACACTATGATGGGCTTTTTGCTACCAAACTTACAAGAGGAGCAAAATCGACACTCACCTTTCTCTGTGAAGATCTGTGATTCTCACCCCTGAAAGTTCTGCTAGTTCATCGATGGACCCAACAGACACAACCTAGCATTGTGAAAAGAAGTGAGAACACAAACTTGGTTTAGTACAATAGTCCCCCTCACAGTACCCTGTGCTATTTTGAAAGGTAGCTGGGCCTTTGCATTGTTGYGAGACAAAGGGTGAGCTTACAATGATAGAGACGTGTGAATAATTGTCTAAGGTGATAAAAAAGGTCTCTATCATTGCAAGCTCACCGTTTGTCTYGCTTCGAAGCAAAGACACGGTTACCTTTTAAGATGGTGCAGGGAACTGTGAAGGGGAAAATTGCAGTTTATGAAAAGCTCTAGCCAACACACAGGGCAAAGCATGGCCCTGATTAATGATTATTAACAGTGACACTTCCCAATCATCGTACGATTTGCTGTCATGACAGAATAGGTTTCCAGTTGACATCAATCAATTAATTGTTTCCATGACAATGTCAGAAAACACAAAGTTTACAAGGGCAGGGGCCTATGGAATGTCATGGAAACCCCTTGATTGCGCCGACCAAAACCTGCTTCATCGTAAAGTAAAATATACTGTATTGTATTGTTTTGGGCATCTGGTTGGGAATTGTAATAACACAATCCTTTTGGCTGTCTATAGGTTATGAACCTGTATTATCAGAATGTACTCACCTCTTGATAGTCGTCACTGACCCACAGAGGGATAGGAGTACCCCAGTATCGATTACGAGAAATATTCCAGTCATGTGCGTTCTGTAGCCAATTATGGAATCGCTTCTCTTTCACAAATTCTGGTACCCTGGGGAACAAAAAAAAAAAAAGATAAATTACCTCCGAGAACCCAAAAGAGTGTAGCTGCATAAGTTGCTCCATATACTGCGAGGAACAGCTCAATTTGATACATTACAACCGCAGTACAAATATATATTTCATATATGTTTATTATTACCAGTAACACTTTTGATTGTTGGCAAGTAACTTTTCAACAAAAGACTCAACTTGGACAAACCAGCCTGGCACTGCCTTGTAGATCAATGGGCTATCTGACCTGTAGTAATAAAAAGCACAATCATTACGATAGCTCCATCGATTTTTCACCRTCACAGGAAAACTGTTTTAACAACATCAGATTTTTTTCAATCAAAGTCAGGGCATGGTTAACTCTCAGATTGAAGTGGAATTTTATAGCGTGTTGGGTCTTAAGGAGGGAGGAAAACTGGAGAAAAAACAAACACAAAAAAAACTTGTCATCGCTTATCACCATYGCAAGTACAGCAGTGGCGCAGCTCAATGAGGTGGAACTGTAAGCATGTGAAAGGYGCCTCTGGCAGCTGCTATACAGTCTATACAGGTATACACTGTATGACCCCTAGCTCTAACAAGTTTGAATAGTTAGGGTTGATTTTGAGACGAGGAAGGAAAAACCAGAGGAACGGAAAAACCCTCAAAGTCAGAAAGAGAGCCAACCAACTCAGCTCACATGAAAAACCCATAAATCAAAGGAGAGAGCTAACAAACTCTACTGATGTGACTCAATATGAGGAATTGAGCCCAAGACCCCAGAGGTGAAAGGAGAGTGCACCACAGTATCACTATACTACTCTTGAATCCCAGAGAACCCACAGAAACACTCTYAAAAGGGAGAGACCTAACAAATTCTACTCAAATGTGACCCAGAGTCTGGGAAGCAAACCTGAGTATCCAGTGTGAGTGGGCAGTGAACTTCTGAAATGCCACCCTTGATTTCCTAATAAGGTGACATAATATAGAGTACTCTCACTACTATACCTCCAGCAGAAGGGGTAGTTGTGCTTGACTGTGGATTGATGTACAAGCCTGTTGTGTTGTTTTAATAACTTGATGATATGTTTATCAGCATCCTAAAACCATAAAACACCCAAGGTCATACTTTATGTCCCAAAACTTTAATTTTCTTCTAAATCCTCTATTTGCACTTCAAATCATCATGGCCACACTAATTGTATTTAATGAAAGATTCCTTATAATCAGTATCCTTTTATTTATATCATGTATTTTGTTGTTAACTCACTCTGAGATGGTTACAAACCATGCAATAAAAATATATACTGTACCTTGACATATTGTCCTGCAAAATCAGTGACTTCACCTGTAAACTTCCCATTTGCATCAACAGGGCAGGGGAGCTTCCCTCCTTTCTTAATGACACCATTGGCTATGCTTACACGGTAATCATCCTGGAAGACAGGCAATAATGTTGATTACTGTACATACRTATACACTTATTTCAATAAAGTTAGTCACCTGAAAAGCTATAAAGCTGAGGCCGACAAGGATTATGGGTAGATTCATTTTACACATTCAACCGCTTGATAACTGTTCATGGACTTGTGAATCTTTTACTGGTTACAGTCTCACCTCTCCTGAGCATCATTGAGCTGAAGTTTGTATTAAAAAAGCTTTGTATATATATGCTTTTTTGATATGAAAAGTTTCCCATGATGCTCAGTGATCTCAGCTTTCTAGGTTTTTGGTGACTAACTTTATTGAAATAAGTGTATAATAAACAAGYATTGGATGAGGTTAAGCATGATATTTAATGATCAAAATTTATCAAGGCTGTGTTATTTTTGTCATCCATGCCAACATCTATATAACTGCCGTTCTGTATTGTAATTTGAATATTTTTATCTCTGATGATGGACTTTTAGTCTGAAAGCTTGGAATACTAAAACATTAGGTGGAAGAAGCAGGTTCCTAGGACTCACAAGCAGGAACCACAGTTTGTGAGTTAATTTGACACAAACTTTAAGAGTACAGAAGCCCTGAAAGACTTCTGGCCTGTACCGTATGTCATCAGGGTTTAAAACATTTAATCACCAAGATGCTTACCATTATTTTTCAAACTCACCTCACCAAAGGCTGGTGCAGAGTGTACCACACCTGTACCGCTGTCGTCAGTGACATACCCATCCGTTAGGATCCTAAATGCTCCTGTCTCCTTCATCTAACATATGAGAATGAGCAGTACATTTTTAGACATACATGTAGTGAATTGTGCAAAATTGGAAAGGAGRCACTATTTGGAAGAGCTGAAGGTCTCTGAGAAGCCATGGATGTAAGAGTCTGAATCAAAGGACCCCTCGTCTTAAAACATCTGCAGCAGTATCATTGATAGGCTTTTGTGAACTGGATGTTAAGTCAATGATATCATATCCAGTCTTGTGTGCAAGTTTTACAGTTGAAAGAACACAACATCAAAATCACTGCTGGTAGGTTTATAGTACAGGGTTCAAAATAACAGCTAGTCAACAGCCTGGCATGACTTCCGACATCACACCAGTTAATTTAAACCAGTCAAAAGGACCAAGGCAATTTGCCAGACAAGCACCAGCTTTGGCTAGATATTTTACATTGAACAGCCATTATTTTTGCTCTGTAGCAGGTTTATAGTATGATGTTGGTAAGTTGTTGGTAAGGTGTACATGTAGTATTAGCTTGCATAACTTGTCAGCATTATGTTTGTAAGCTGAAGCAGCTCTGGCTGGATGTCGTCTGTTGTGTGGCATTTATTTTTAGCCCTGTGGTAGGTTTATACAGTGGTACATGTATGTACATCATTGGTGGGTTGTTGGTTAGGTACCATTAGCTTTAATTTCCGTAGATTGCCTAGTATATAATGTTTGTACATTACAAGTTGTCAGAAGCTTGTCTTTGTAAATGCAACATGCAGTTTACTGTACCTCCTTAAAATAGGGGAACAACGGCTGGTAGGTTTTTCCTTTCAAAGTTTCACCTTTGAATCTACAAAAGATYGATAAAAACAATTATTAATCATGAGCCAACAAAGTAATGTAAATATGCTTCAACAAGGTAATTTTTCTCGGGAAAAAATTCCRAGCTCATTAGTCATATAGTTCAATAATTAGTTATAATTTAGCAGGGGGAAAAACCATCAACAGCATAGGTGGTGTGCCTGCTAATGATATTCCTTCCATTGCTGTGGTCATGTTAAAACCTGGGTCTTGCCACTATAATTATGTAAGTAAAGTTGCTTGGTGGTTCTCTCCTGTGCTTCAAGRGTTTTTTAGGGTTCTCTAAATTCCAATTTAATTACTGAGTAAGAGCCACAGGTTTGTTAGCTGAGTTCTACTCTACCACTCTGATCTGTTGTAAAAAATAATGACAATTTGTCAATTTTACCTTTCTAGAACTGTGTATTCTTCTGGAGTTTTGAATAAAGCCTCTAGTCTTGCAGCCATCATAATATACAATCTTTCTGTGGTATTGTCTGTCGGAAAGTAAAGAAATAATAAATATATTTAATTAGTCTACCAAGGGAGGAGTTCCAATGACTGTATAGAAAATTCATTTTGCACTACATATACTATCATATCACCTTTAACTTTGACATATTCCATGTCAGGGTTGACKACCAGGGCAAGATTACTGGGCAATGTCCAAGGTGTTGTTGTCCAGGCAATCATACTGATATCTGGATTTTCGTCGAGTGGGAAGCTAATAAATACTGTAAATATATGGCACGAAATAGCTTAGTAAAGTGATTTCTTATGACTGTGAATTATATTAAGGAACGGCTTGCTATCTGGACAAGGCAATAGCTAACGGGAGATGCTGTGATGTTACATGATGTACATATTTAAAAAAAGAAAAAAACCAGTTTTAAATTATTAAAATACAGCTTTCCCAAATTTGATTGAGTAGCCATGAAACAATGGCACCAAGTCAAGTTTTGTCTTGATAAAATATAACACATGTGATTACATGGGAGCCATTGGTTTAGGGTCACTCAAGCAAATTCAGAAAAGGTCCATTTAAAAGAATTATAAGAAAGCTGTTATAAATGTCACGTTCTGATTGGTTGTGAGCGCATGCTTTATGAGAGCACACAGCACATGTGTGCACTTTCAGTTGTGTCTTTCCTAACTAAAATAATGGATATTGTAATTTGTATTTCATAAAAGAAATAAAAAACTTGCTTGCTGTGCTGTGTGCAGTTATAAAACACTTGGAGATTGGCAGAACACTACACGTACGCATTGTGCTTCTCCTAACACTTCTCTTGTGTTTTGCCAACCTCTAGCTGTGTACTTAATAACTGCACACAGCATGCACGCACGTTTTCTATTTCTTCAATATACTGACCTGCAGGATCCACCACCTCTTTATAGTTCTGGTTGGACTCAAAATTTGACAGAGGAGTATTACATGCAGTCGAATATGGCATGACCTAATGCACCAAGATAAAACAATGAAAACTTTAGTCCTAACTGTAGTTTAATAATGTAACACAGATGACTTCTTCAAATTTTATGAGATTCTGAAACAACCTAATCTAATGCAGGGCACAGCTACTGCATCTTACAGATTGGATTGGGATTAATTAGCAGTTTGAGTTTTTTAGAGTGAGAAAAAATGGAGAACCATGAGGCCATGAATTGAAACCAAGGCTTCAGAGGTGAGAGGCAAGTGMATGAATATTGTTTATAAAACAGAGGCTTACCCTGAGGAATAGAGAATTTGAAACTTGAGCATTACATGTAGCTATTATCTTGCATACTGTTAACTTAATGTAATATGTTAAAGTGCTACTATGACGAAAATCGCTTAAACTTGGATTCAGCTGAAACTTCCTAAGAATACTCTTTAAAGGTCCAATAATCACTGTATGAAGTGTTTTCTCGATATTCAGGACGAAAGTATGATATTTTTACGATTATTTTTTGGAGTCTGTGACGTCATACRCTCAACATCGAACATCGCTCCATACATTTCAGAAATATATGTAGCAATGTTTGATGTTGAGTGTATGAYGTCACAGACTCCAAAAAATAATCGTAAAAATATCATACTTTCGTCACTTCATACAGTGATTATTGGACYTTTAAAGAGTATTCTTAGGAAGTTTCAGCTGAATCCAAGTTTGAGCGATTTTCGTCATAGTAGCACTTTAACAGATGTATGTAAATACTGTACCTTGAATCCTCTATAGACAAGCTTCTTTTCATACAGCTGTTTGAACACCCACCTTTCAAATAAACATCACATTACTTTAAAATACTGGTCCTGGATTTATTATCATTCATGAGGGTTTTTAAGGGGCTTATGATGTGGGAGCCAAATATGTATACCCAAGCTGTCTTATAACCTGAAGGAAAAAGCTAAAGTTTGGGATGAAAAGGACACCACCTTTTGTTTTATTTTCCTTTTATGTGTTATCAGCACCATGAACTTGATATCATACTCTTACCAAACTGATTCCATGAACCATGGGTAGAGAGTCTTGTAGTCATGTTCAAAATCAATCCATCTTCCTAACCTATTGACAATAACCTGGGGGGAAAAGGTAGAAAGATTAAATAYCATATTTTTACTAATTTTCTCAAGTACTAATTTTCACGATTTTCATAATATTTAAAAAAGATCGAGAAATTTAGTAAGTGAGAAATGAGATTTTGTGAAATTAGTACACTAATTAGTACAGTTTTACTCAAATTTTTAATGCAATCGCAAAAATTAATAGTTGCGAAATTCAACTCTAAATTTTCGTGAAATTGCATGTGAAAATTAGTAAGAATAATGTAGAACTTTGACATCTTTTTTGTTTGGCACATTTATAGTAAGAAAGCCCACTCATTGGATCATCTACTCATCTACTAATCTTATATTTATTTGTTGGTATGTACATCATTCAATCAGTTCRCATAGCCATCCATGCATCCCTTTATCCCTCCATATATATTCATTAATTCATATTTCCATTTATCCATTCATCTATTTTGGTCTGTCCATCCATCCATTTGTTTGAATATCTATTCGTCCATTCATTCTATCCATCAATCATATACCCATCCATTCCATCCATCAATCCATCCATCTGCTGGTCTAACTAACTATATATAAAACTATATTCGCACAGCTCTAAGAAAAATGGCCATTCAGTCACCAGTCATGATAACCAGCCAAATTAGTTTTAACTCAGTCACAGCTCATTTTTGGCTCAATGTTAYTGGTCAAAATGACCGGCCAGCACGGCAAACATGACTAGCCATTGTTCTTAGTCCTGCGGCACATAAAACAAACAATACTAAATTACCTCCCAATCATTTGAGTAACGCATAACAATGCTTCGGCATTCCTTGTTGTATTGAGCAATACCCATCTTGGCAACGTCTTCAGGACTCTAATTTTAATAAGTCGATTAGATGATTAATAAAAGATTAAATTAAAGTTTAAATACCTTAAAAGCCTATCTTGCGATGTATACTAACCTTGATATTCAGCTTTTGATCTATTTCATATTCCTGGAATAAAAATTTCACATATTAAATAATTTGCATGATAATAAAGGGTCATTGTCATATCTCCCTAGCCAATGTCCAGGCTAATGTTCATGCATACGGCACACCCCTAACAAACTGTACTCACATGTCATGGAGAGTCTAGAAATCAAACCAAAGACCCCAGAGGTGAAAGACAAGTGGACTACCACTACACCACCCTTGATTCCCATCCCTCTTTACAGATAATTATGTACATTGGTTAAATGGATCTTACCACAGGAAGACCATGACAATCCCAACCAAAGCGTCTCTCAACATGATAACCACTCTGATGAGCATAACGTGTAACAATATCCTAAAGATAAAAAGATATAAACCTTGAAATGGCTTCATATAGAAGTTTTAGAACAGGTGTAATGTTTCCCAATTCAGATGTGTGTCATTCCCTCGACTGAAATATAATATATGTGTACTTTGTACTATAGCTGGGTTAGAGTGAATTATACAAATTATTATCAGTACAAAGAAAAGCAAATAAAATTCGCAAAGCATTCTGGTACTGGTAGGAAATAATGCCAGCCTATTTCAGGGTTCAACACAGGAAGCCCAACAACTTATTCTGAGCTACAAAATGTGATTAGAATACCTTAATGGTTCCAGCCAGGATATGACCATAATGTGGTAATCCTGTGGCAAACGGGGGTCCATCGTAGAAGGTATACCTAGTAAATAGACAAACAAACAAACGAGAAACTTGGAGATACAATCCATAAATACCAAAGAATATTTGAATGAAAAAAGCTTTATTTTTAATCAGATTTCCAAACAGAATAAAGATCCAATGCTAGCTTATGAATAATGAATTTGTATCATTAATTTAATGATCGATTATTCCCTTTTTATTCATCAAATTAATCTATAATAAAATAGAAGATTTGCATGGCTTCACATGTGCATAAGATAAATTTATCTTGCCCTACATGTATGATTACAACTAGCAAGCAAATGGTTCCAAACACACTCAATTTTTAATGATCCGAGAGATCTAAGGCATAAATAYGATATGAATTTATTAAGATCTTTTAAACAATACCTTGGACGACCTTCGGATTGTTTTAGTGATGTTTTGAAGGCATCAAGCTTCTTCCAAAGTTCCAAAATTCTCTCCTCCTCTTTGGGAAAATTATGCTGCTCCGGCGCGTGTGAAGCCATCTCAGGGGCCGTATCAACAGCAGATGAGTATGTCTGGCTAGCAAATGCTCTTCTTATTAAAGAATTTAAGGATTTAAATGAAAATTTTGAGAAATTTCGTGAGTTTTGTTTCCACATGGAAGCATTACATCATCCACCGGCAACTACACCCGCAAAGCATCTTGGTCTTCCATTCAACAATTTTTTTTCTTTAATAAAAAAAATATAAATTGATATAGATTAATAGATTATCAAGAAAACTTTACATATAATGGCCTAATTTTTGTTTGTCATTAAATTACTTAAAATTTATCTAGAAATATTATTTTTTATTTTTTAAAAAAACTTGTGGTCAAGTATCCCATCGTGCATTGCCAGTGGGGTTTTCCAAAATGGCTGCCTACTTGAAGAGAGTAAGTCTTGTTGTTGTTAATATTTTGTCTCTGCGTCTAGCGCAATTGCAAAATCTTCAATGGAAAGCATGGTACTTGTTATAGGAGAAGTATTGCTTATGAGCTAAAGATAGGTTTTAGACCGTTTTTATGAAAAATTGCTATCATTTTGTGATGGTGAAAAGTTGTATAATCTGAGCTGTGCATGTTGTATTTCAGTTATCGATGGCTACCAGTCAAAAAAATCTTTTTTGTATTTAGTTTTAGTATTTTATTCCATAGGGAGAATCASTTATATTTATCTAGTGTCGAAAAGTGACACGGGATTTGAATATTCATGCAGTATTATGCTATATATTTTATTTTCAGTCTACTGGTCTTGTGGGACTTGCTGTTGCAAAAGCTCCAAGGGAGGTCAGTAAAAATCTTTTTTCTCACACCTTTTACACATTTTAAGCGCAACCAGAGAGTGTAAATCTTTTCAGTTTGGGCTTAAGGTTTTCCCATTTCAGACCACATGCCATTCTCTTGAATATTATTCTTTGTTTGATTGTTGTGCATTAAACAGAAAACACATGAATATGAACACAACACAAACAAAGAATCTTATTCCCAAGAGAATAACATGTGGTTTAAAATGGATAAAGATTATGCCTAAGCTAAAAAGTTCTTTTCTTTTCTCTTTTGTTACTTTTATCTTAAATGGGCTTCCTGTGTTATGGTTGCTAATATTTTTCTTGTGTTTTTAGTCTCTGATTGCCCTGTACAACAAGACGTTAGGTGTTCTAAATGACATGCCAAAGGAATCAACATATAGGACTCATACAGAAGGGATTACAAAAGAAAGACTTGGTATAGTAGAAAAGGTGTGTTAACTAACATCAAAGTTTATCTACACCCTGTGCAGCTGAAGAGTTTAAATATTGTTATYAAGTTGATGTGTTATTTATTCCTGCTATAGGAAACTGATATTAGCACACTGGAGAAAAAGCTTGCCGCTGGTCAGRTAGAAGAAGTTATCAAACAGGTAGGTGATTTAAAATGGACATAATATTGAGACCCTTCCCTAGATTCTGGTCTACATGTACATGAAGCTTGGGTACATGCTAAAAAGTAGATAATTGAGCCCAAGCTAGACAACATTGCACAATAGTTAACAAAATATAAAAAAAGCCTTTTCTGTGTTCTGTTCAGTAATGCATTATACATGAAGTAAAGCACTTGAGAAGAGGAAGCATAAGCTTTAGGCATGTGCCGCTTACACTTTTTGAGTGGTTCTATATAAGCCATAAAATAAATGTTTGGTAGATGCTTTTTGTTTCAATGAACAAGGTGCATTATGGTCTAGCTCAGGTACGAACAACACCATATAAGGTATAATGAACAAAAGATGTCTGTACCCAAAATACTTGTAGACCACGACCAGAATGCACCATCTATCTGGATATTATTGAAAACAGAACTATTTTAGCCATCCCTGTTAATTTTATAAGGTGCATGACTTGCCCAATACTTAGCTTTCCACTTCAAAAAACATTATCTACACAGTTATACTCGTCACTAATGTAGAAATAGACTTTATGATAATTGAACAGAAGTAGTTATTTGACAGTAACAGAAGATAAAACATACCATTTCAGGCAGAGGACGAACTCTCGCTTGCAAAGAAAATGATGGAATGGAAAGCATGGGAACCCCTCCAAACCACTCCCCCTGAGGGGCAATGGAAATGGCCCTTTTGAACAGAAGATTTTGATTTTTGTTTGTATATTATTTTATTATGTCAATTATGGTTGTGAGAATAAGAAAGCCCTGTAAAAGAAGCTTTATTGTGTGATTTTCTATAGTATACCTATATTATTTTCTCTTCTCTATTAAAATATATGCATTCATATGTACCATAAAACCTTTTAGCTTTGACATAACATTTTCTCATTTCAGTCCACATATCTCCACAATAAGATTCTTCATTTGAATTGTATCAATATTTACGTGTCTCCTCATGCATAACCATTAAACAAAGAATGACAGTGTGAATGGCAAAACATTATGCCAAAGCTAAAGAGGGTCTATTAATGATTTCAACATAGTGGTTAGAAGGCTTGTTTGTTCCTGTAATACGATTGATGTCTGCACACTAGGAGTTCTCACTGCTAAAAGTGTTATTGACAGACACCAAAAACAAAAACAAAAAKTTTTAGATTTTTTTGCCATTTTGAGTTGCCGAAACATGAGCATTAGTCTTAAAAAAACCACACCATATCCAACAAAAGAGACAATAATTGCTTTATTAAGACTAAATAATTGATATAACTACATAAATTACTCTGCAAACATGTCAGGGATTGGCTCAAATAGGACTCGAAAATGTGTTGTAATCCTCTGAATATTAATCCTCTTGATTGCATTACTGGCATGGCTCGGTACGCTCACCTCRGCTTTCTCCTCACCACCGCCCTTGCTATTCTTATTCATGAGCCTACTCTCACAGTTATTATAAATAGGGCRATCGATCAGTGACCTGATTGTCGGACCATCATTCGGACTCTTAGATTTCCTTCCTGCACGACTCTCTTGACCAGCCACTGGTTTGCTTTGAGGGTTTCCATGGCAATGGGTTACATCCACCTTAAGAAGACCCTTGAGATAGTTCCCTACCTTTTGTAGCTGGTCAGCTGGGGGTTGCTCTTGTTGGTTCATGAGTGTGAGACCATGTGGGGATTTTATACCTTGTGATGAATTATTATTATCTAGATAATTATTAGTAGTGGAGTATTTCGAACAGGTTTTGTTCTCTTGCTCATGAACAGGTTTCTGGCATGTGTCTTGATTCTGCCCACGATTAATAGTCCCCTCACTAAATACTCYCTTTGATCCAAATTCTTCGTCCACGTTCAGGAAAATATCAAACCCGTCATCATCGCTGTTGAAAACATACTCAGATGATGTCGTAAGGATTGAAGATCTCTCCGAGCAGCTCTCACTTCCTTGAGCGCCCCTGTTAGGGTTGTCAGCAAAAATTTCGGCCAGTTCTTCACTGCTCTCGTCAAAGCATGGGGCAGTATTACGTTCTAAGACATTTTTGGCAGGCGTCCATCGGGAAGGGTTGGCTGACTGGGAACGTAATTGGGATCTAGGGGTTTGCTCTTTTGCGTGTGATGAGCATTCGTATGATTGAGGTGAYGGGGCAGGTGCCCACTGGTCGTACATTCCTTGGTTCATTTCTCTGGCACCAGGGTCAGGATTTCTCTTGTGGGGGTAGAGTAGAGAGTCRGGACGATCGAATCGCCAAGGAACATTATTTGCATGTTGTGGGATACCTGTGTCCTGCTGGGGTTTCTCTCTTTGAAAGTTGTTCTGATGGTAGGGATGGAGAGGTGCACGATTGGGGTTTCCAGGGGGTACATTCAAATGAATATTCTGCATGTGTCGAAGATGTTGGTCCACCAAATGATTGTTATTATTATAAAGCATCTCACTTTGCAGCCCACCTGGTGGCCCTCCTGGGATTGGGCAACCTTGATGAAGCATTTCCCCCCCTGGAAACATCTGTGGCATCATATACTGTGATGATGGATGATGCCCATACGGGCTGGGYGGGACTGRGAGATGGACAGGTGCAGGCRGTGGCTGACATGGAAGATGGTGAGGACCAGTTGGATGTTGGAATTGATTCCTCTGGTTTGTGTTGTTCATTTGGTAAGCAAACGTGGAGCTTTGATGATGGATGGATGTAGTGAAATTCGTAGAGGACTGGGGGGCCTGATGAGTGGGTGGTGGAAAGTGATGGTTGATGTTCCATGAAGGTCCTAGTGGTGGAGGCAAGTTGTTCATACCTTGAGGAGGATGCTGTAGAACACAAACAAAGTAATCATTTCCAAGAGAATGAAATAACGAAATACACATGGTCACCGTATTGGATGATATAACAAGAGACTAATGACGAATCTTTTGTTAAATTGGATTTGATGGACGCTCCTAGTAATGAGCTCCTGATGTGGGAATATGCTGACCCACTAGACCCACTATGAGAGATGGATGCTCCATAACTTCACTTTATTGAGAATAAAATTCTTTTTGCGCAACCATTCAAAGAAAATCTACCTTCGTGGTGGGCGCGAATCCGAGGTCAACATATCTGCGCAACAAGGTTAATTTGTCAGCAACTCTTATCAAGAGCGTAGAAMTCTAATATCTGGGAATAAATAGCTAGCCTCTTAGGTCTTGAGAAGTTTTTATTTTATCTAATCTTTTTTTCCTTTATTGACATGCTATAAGGTAGATTCAAACTCGCCATGCGTTATTTGTTATTGCAATGTTATTTGGAAGATGGAACAACTCCACCTCGCCCGCGACCTTTCCTCTAAGCATTATGCCTGCTGACAGATTGCAAGGGATGATAAAGTTTTAGTTCGAGATTACTTGTCGAGCTCGAGAGAGCGTTTTAGCCGGAAGCGTGAAGGCATGCACAAATTCTACGATACTGCGATATCCAGTCAGTTTGCCATACATCGTAGGTCAGTAATACACAATAATGTGTCGTACGTGTCTGCTTGGGTCGAGGGAATGCGGGAAATTTTCCCCCGATACTCAAGAGCAAGAGAAATTTATACTTAATATTCTCTTGTCACGGGTCGACCCTAGCCTCCTTTGCAGCCGCTGTGAGGCGCTTCCGGTTCCCGCCTCACAGCGGCTGCAAAGGAGGCTAGTCGACCCACCATATCCCGTAGGATGAGCTGATAAGGGTGGGGAGAGTTATTCCTCGATACTCACCGGTGTCGGCCTGCCATATCCCGTAGGGTTATACGGTGTCTGGTTAAACTGAGGGTGTAGCGGTAAGTTACTATTGTTGTAATACTGCAAAAAATAGAAACAGGCGGTTACTATTTTTAAGCTTTTGAAGTACCATTCCGCCCTCCCATTTCTCGTATTACACTTCAATCAGATTTATTATTCCGTGATCTGAGCGTCTAACACATGCGCGCTAATATATATTTAAAATTCCATGCAACACATGTTTTCTGCCTACACGGCTACAACCATCTAGTTCCTGTGAAAACTTCATGAAACGAAACAAAACGGAAAAGTCAACGGGACAGTCAAGTGTAGTCGCGCGCTGGATTTTTGCTCGCATAAGAATAGAATAAGTATCAWTAACATTGAAGAATGTGAGAGAAATAAGAGACTCTCCAAACTTAGGCCTTTTAAGAACAAACACAAACATTTTTTGGGGCGTGATGTGATATAAACGAGTTTGATGTGCGTGCAAAGAATCACGAACGTCAGCCGCCAACATGGAGGAATTCCCTATGGGTTTCAAGGTGCAAAAAGACTCTTGACCTCAACATTTGACCATTGATAATAACTTTTAATTCCACTTGAAATCATTTTAACATCTAGATTATATTGTTTACTGATATCAGCAAAAARTTTTTTAAGACTTAACTTTTGCTCTAAAAAGATGCACCCATAGGATTACGAGTAGTTTCGTAGTGCAACGTTCCTCTTTCGCCATATCTAAGAGCCCTATGGGTCGCGGGTCGCCGGTTCGATTCCTGTGGACGCCACGTGTGAGTAGAGTTTGTATTATTCTCTCCCTTGCCAAGAGCATAGTTAATAGAGGGGAATGGTTATGAAACTTATTGTATATATGTCTTTGTTCACTTTTTTCAAGCGTGACCCTGCACAATCCTTTGTTTTATCATTGTTGGCAATGGCTGTGAGTGAACAGACCAAAATCTTTCTTTTGGCTGCTAGTTCAAAATACTTAAAGATTTATAAGAGATATTTGAATATTCCTTACAATTATCCCATAGACGAAGTTTATGTTTACTTGTTTTGCAATTTCGGAAGAGCATAAATCAAACATTGTGCATGGTCAAGACTGCTTCAACATCAAAAGTGAACTGCAAAGACGTGATAACAATAGGTTTCATAACCATTCCCCTCTATTAACTATGCCAAGAGGGAGAGTTTTTCTTRGCATTGTCTTAGGGTTCTCCAGTGTGAACACAATTAAGGTTAAGGTAGAGTGAAATATCGTTTTCACACCAAATAATATAGTTTTAGTTAGTCTTATAAGTGATTGAAGATATATGTGAATCCCCGAAAGTCCTGAGTTTTTTGTCTTTTCTTGTAACAAAGGGCTTTTTAAAGCAATACTTTGCAATTATTTTCACTAACATTATTTATAGATAACAAATGCAAAATTAATATATTGACAACACTTTGTCAGTCGAAGATCTGCATTGGGCGATGTGAGCCTATGCAGAATTTYCGTGCTCTTACGCGGCTAAATTACGAAAAATCACATTTCTACAACTCAAAGGTCATGCTTCATATTCCATTCTAAAAGRAAACTATCTTGTTCGACTGTGAATTATTACATTTTTACAATAGTTACTCGTATAARATTTTATATTTTACACTCATCTCCGACCGACAACATTTAGTTTCGAAATAGGTGCAGGCATAGACGTTCAATACATTTTAGGACAGATTAATATAATCTTAAAAACCATATTTAACATTWAAAAATATTTTCCTTATGGACGTCGTATAAATGCCAACTTTGTACTAAGCTTCTAGAATACTATCCAATGTTTTTTTATACTTAGTAACATTAATAAAATCTAGTGCTGTAAATCTTAGTTTTTGTAATTTTTTCATTTACATGTGAGTAAAATTTACAGTTCGACACTCCAACCATGAGTACTTCGAGTTTTGTAATCAGGTTACTACTTTTTCAACTTGCTACTGTTTCAAATTCTCTAACATGAAGCAATTAAGTTCAACTACACCGTGCGATCAAAATAAACCTTATTTCCAATCGATTGATTCAAGGGATGCCTTTTTTGCATTTTAAAAAGGTGACAAAAACTCGAAATGTTCCACGGTTAACTCGAGTGTCCTTGTACTGTAAAAACAATATATTTTGACAATAGGTATAGGTAATAGGACTGCATGCTRTCCAATTTGAAAATAATTGGATGAAAAGAACTCCAAGGACTGACAAAATTGGAAGAGGCCGATAGCTAGGCTGAGTCCAATTTGGCAGKCAGAGGAATTTTTTGAATTCCATTATTTCCAAATTGGACACACATGTAGTCCTATATTGCACTGATTAATTATATCATCCTAAACTATACTAGACTGATTCCATAAGTCATAGTTTTCCCTCAAAAGAAWKCGAAAATTAACCTTTAATTTGGAAAGGAAAGAGAATGTGAAAATAATACAAYAGCTGCTTATATGGGATTATAGAGTGATGATACAATTAACTGTCTGATTCTTCGAACGCTGAATTGTTAGGAATATAAACGCTATAGTACATGTTGTTTGGTGTAGTGAAATAGCTGGTAATATAGATTTATTTACAAGGCCCTATGTACCATGAGGCGCGAGGCGGATAGATAACAGGTAACAGACTTATTTACAGAGAATAAGCTTCGAAAAGGCTTTAGAATAAAACTGCGTCATCAATCCGTAGCAGAGTGGATGAAGCGCACTTGGGAAACACGTCAAAAGAAATGYGTACTTCCTCACGAAAATGAAGTACTTCCATTGTGGAGTGAGAACGCCAAAGTATTCCAGCATAAAAACGACCTGATATGGGAAATAACAGACGATGAAGATTAAAATGATGGCGTAAAACATTTTGAAAAGGTCTGCTTCGAGATAGTCAATGTTGACTGTTTTTTTGACGGTTTCTTGTGCGGGTTCGTTGGTTGGTTGTGCGGATGGCTGGGCGTTTGGTCGCATATCTTGTAGGCTAATCTCCTCTACCGTTGGWGTAGGATCCACTTCTGTGCGAGAGCTGTTAAGTGTAACTCCCGTGGCTTTGATTTTGAACATCACGATCCCGTAGGCAACAACCATGATGGATGAAGTTAGCACAAAGTTCACAACGCTTTGTACCAACATCAAGATCTTGAAAGCKTGAGATGGAAATGYCTGAATAGTGTCTCCGGGAAAGAGAGTGATGCACCAGAAATGCTCTCCAGATGCTAAGCTTTCTACTTGGACGTTGAACAAAAAATTKGGAAGGGCGAGACCAATTGATAATCCCCAGAGACAAAGCGCTACGCATAAGAAGCCTTTTGGCAATCCCATGAGGGTGATGACTCTGGGAAAAATAAAGACACTACTTCGGTAGACTGCAATGGCTGCAAGGGTGCTGGTCGTTACAGAATTGGCAAGTATCTGGATTGGGCTGATAATCTGACAAAGATACTGGCCAAAAACCCAGGAGTACAGTTCGTCATAAGCAACAAGAAAAGGCAAGCAGATTGTGTTAAGTAACTCTCCTATTGCGAGGTTCATGACAAGGTTGTAAGAGAATGGTACCTGTCTTCGTGGCACGCAMAACACTGTCTTTACAATCAAGCTGTTTCCGAACAACGACGCGATTATAACGCCAGCGAAAACAGCAAGGCGCACCACTCTTGAACTAACAGGTTCTCCCCAGTACGTGATAACAGCRGTCGCGTTTTCTGCCATCGTAAAATATTTCAAGATATCATTCACTGCAAGTTCTYTGAAAATTCCTTGGGTCGAAACACAAAGTATGTCAGTTTTCTATCAACGCAAAGTTCTACGTATGACTAAAGTTTCGTTGTGTTCTYTGAGTTTATAACGGTAGAAAATGTCTTTTTCTTGTCGGGTAAATGCTTGTGGATAGTCCGCCTCTGTCGTTTTCTCTTCTAGCAAGGAATGTTTAGTAAACCAGTTAGTACTCAGGGCTCAGTTTAAAGCATTCTTGCTGAAAATATTTTGGCGGTTTTCCAACTCCGAATCTCAGGACTTCGCAGGGTTGATTTTGGAAATTTGCAGAAAACATTTACTAGATAGACTAAAAAAGTTAAAAAGAATAACAAAATGTTCAGAAATTCCAGCCTCTCAGTCTTAGATGAATTCACGACTAAAAAAGTTCCCGTATAGCTAGGAACAGTTTGATTGCAAAGCTCAAGGTTCCATTGTGATTCGTATCTCAAATCTTAAAWAAATACTTGAAACCCGACACAAGGTATTCATTACAACAAGAAAAAGAGAAAAAAGAGACTTCAAGTTGAGTACAAAAGAATTTTTTTCGCATACTTCGAAACAATGGATTCAAGTCRAAGTTGACCTTGCCTGAGGTGAACTTTCAGTTTTTACAAGTTGATCATGAATTGCCAAGGACATGAGAGATACTAAATCAGGCCTTTCTTGAAATAGCATCACGACATAAAGCTACTTAATTTTGACTTACTTTTCTCCGCAACGAYCATAGAATCAGTCCTCATTCCCTCCCTATCCCTTTTCTAGCTACTTTCTCCGACATCCTTTGTCTGTCTCCTCCTTCCTCCTCTCTTCCCTTTGATTCTTTCCATTCTATTTCCTTTTCCATCCCTTCGTTTCTTTTTCTTCACATTCGTTTTTCCTTTTTTCACACCTCCTCTTCCCTTCTGACTCATTTGCCTTCCCCTCTCATTTTCTTCCCATTCTTTCATCTTACTCCACCCCATCCAACTCTTTCCTTCTCATTTCTTGCCATCCACTTGTTTTCTTTTTTCCCCTTTTTATTCTCTCCTCCACCCCTCCCCCCTATGACCATATGCAGTCTGCTTCCTTCACTCCTCTATTCTGTCCCCTTCTCTAGTTTCCTATTCCCTACTCCCCCCCCTCCCCCCTATGGCCATGCAGTCTGCTTCCTTCACTTCTCTATTCTGTCCCCTTCTCTTACTCCTCTTCCTTCTCCACCTCAGTGCCATTTTGCGGATGGTGGTCACCGTCAAATTTAGAAATTCGAACCGATCCATTGAATCATACACAGCATTCAAAATCATTGCTTTCCCAATCAGAAAACGGGGGACTTGAAACCATGCTACTCCCAGAATGCAGTAGATTAGACTCACACRTCACACGTCGAAAATTGGATACATTTTTCGGAGGTTAACGTTTGTTCGTAGATAAAAATCGCTGGCATTGTCAAGTAACAAAAGTAATGAAGTAATTTATCGTACTTTTTAACCTTTAAGAKATTTTAAACAATGGTACTATTTAACCTTTAAAGGCCTTTAAACAATTCAATCCTCGAAAGAAAAGGTCTTTAATCTACAAGTCGTAAGATGTGGGTCTCATCAAATTTCATTGGAATTATAATGCCAATGCAAAAGGAATATTTGCAGTAGTTTTCTGACCGTCATTAGACGATGCGCAAGTCAGTAAAAGTTGTAGTGTTGAGGGATTGGACTATTTTAAATTTGTCGTCGGAGTCTGTGTTAGTAAAGAAAATAAATTCATCGCAAGTTTGAAATGATTGTGATGTGATCATACGCGCAGCTTGATAGGAAAGCAGGTTGGAGACATCGGAAGATCGCCACACTAGGCAGGCAGAATGAAGGTCAGCCAGGAAGGCAGGAAGGCCGGCAGGCAGGCAGGCAAGTAGACAGCAGAAAATGGGCCATGCGTTCAGTGTCATGAATGAAATATATAAAGATATATGTCTGATGTGTTGACAAAGCAGGAAAAAATGAGGGTGAAAACCTGAGATATGGTAAAACAACTCGAAAGATTCCAGGCAGAATAGATGGAAATCCGGACAAACAGACTGAAACAAGCGTTTGAAAAATCGATAACAATTTATTCACTAACCGGGTCGTAATGTCCATCCGGTGGGCCCATTTGGTTAGGGAACATTTTATCACAYCAATGGCACTTTGCGTACGGAACTGTGTAAATTCTGAGAGAGAAAATAAATAAATTTATTTTGCAACAAATTATACAAGTTTGGATCAAATTAGACGTCAAAAACGAAAAACATGTTTCGTTGCAAAATCATTTTTGTGTGCAGTTTACTTACTTTTGAACGACTCCTTAGTTTTGGTGAACTCAATTCTTAGTTTTATARTTTTGCAATTTCTTTACATTTCTTATAAACTAATTTGCTCATGTACGTTTAACGGTTTTGGTCGACGTCGTCATCTTTCTGAACATTTGATTGCGTATTGTTATGTAAGCGCGCCTAATTCTCACGCGCGCGCTTTTTTCCCCTATAGAGTAATAGTCTGTTACGTACAATACTCTTGGGTGATAAACAAGGGAAACTAAAAAAGAGTTAACCTATTTTATCTAAATGAATTTCTTTTCGTAGACCAAATCAAAAACCGTTGCTAGCTACAATCGTGAACATGAGATGGATTTATTTAATCATTGATGGAMGGATGATAGAATCAGAATTACGCGCGCTCTAAAAAGTACTCTCACCTTACAATTTTTCTTGGGAGGCCTGTACAGAAGAATGGAATATTTCTTACCCATGATCGGCGACGTTTCGAATTGGAATTGTAACTTTAGCACTCTTTATCTTGAGCGCGGTCGATAAAAAAGACGTCCTTGGTACCATGATCAACTAGATCTTTYTCCAAATCCTAGTTCAACGTGAGTGTGTGAGCTGTTTGTCTCGATGTCTGAGAGCGTGCGCAACGATCTCAAATCATGGTCGTCGATCTGGTTGTGAAACGTTTTCGCATGCGTAGTAAATTCGTAATTCTAGCTGTAGACTTTTGATTACATAATTGTGTTTATATATATTAGCTAACATTTAGTCACGTTTTATAAGTAGGAAACATGTGATACCGACTTGCAGCACGTACACAGTGCGTTGCTAAATGCCTTTACATTGAAATAATTTCCCATAGCTAGGAATGGTTATCGTATGAGAGGAAAACATACGGTGCTTATGCAAGAACCCCGGGGGGTAGGAGGGGGGGATACTACCACCCCAACTTGGGTAGGGGTGTGCCGCCAGGACCTCAAAACCCTGACCCTATCCCAGACCTACAACTTTAATTTTACATACCCTACCCCGGWCTAAGAGTTGTACCTCTTATCAGACTATCCCAGACTAAACCTGGTTAGTCAATAGATTGCAATCAATTTTTACCAAYGTTTTTATTGTTTTTGTGCCGTCAGAAAGCGTAGTCTATTCGCCAGACAAAACGACCCAATCGTTAACCCTATCCCAGACTAAAACGACCATGATCGTAACCCTATCCCAGACAAAAATGATACCCTAACCCAGACAAAATGTCAAAAAATGATACCCTACCCCAGACCCAAAAGCCGAAAACCATACCCTATAGGACGGCACATACCCGTATAGCAAATATACCCCCGGGCAAGAACTACTCTATACAGTGTCGTCAGTAGCCTCTCTCGAAAACCCTACCACAGGAAGACCAAAATATACCCTTTTGACCTGAATCCCTTGAATCACGAGTGAATTGAGATACCTTTGTAAACTCAATCGTCGCCAGGGAACTCCCATGCACGACAAGAAAAATGCTTCCCCCTGAAGCCCTCATATAGGAATTCCTGTACCCAAAGCAGCCGCTACATCAGAATTCATCAGAAATATGGAAGGGGCAGGGGTAAGTGCATGGGAGAAGGGAGTGAGAAGGCAGCACATACCTTTAGCTTCCTGTGGCTCGGATGGAAGGGGACAGGGGTAAGTGCATGGGAGGAGGGAGGAAGGGAGGCAGGGAGGGAGGGAGGGAGGGAGGGAGGGGAGACAAACCCTAAGCTTCCTGCAGCTCCGAATATTTTGTTACAAATAGCCATACATTCTATGAAATGGGGGTAGAGGGGTACGTAATTGCATGGGAGGGAGGGAGGGAGGGACAGAGGTAGGAAGGAGATAAATCCTTAAGGCTTCCTGTTGTTCCAAAGAGGGTTAGAAACGTGTTTGTGATTTTTTCTGGCAATTTAGATTGATTTAGTATCAAAATTATTTATAATTTATCATGTAATGAGGTCAAATATAGTTAAATAAAAAAGGTCTTAAATACTTGTTATAAATAGCCATAGATCTCGCTGTTTATGACTTAGAGATTAGTTTCCTCTCACAGCATGCTTTAGAGCCACAATGGTGATTCTCACAAGGTCACAGTCATAACTACATGGTTTTCAAGCCTAAGTCGCTTGCATTTTAAATTTAGATCTTATTTACGTCAATTCGTAACCATGGAATTCGATCAGGAAAAAAACAAAGGAGGGGAGGGGTGGGGTTGGACTTAAAGGAAATGACGTCATAGGCTGTTTCCCAAACAAACTAGAGATTTTGAAAATAATATATACGATTGGACAAAAGCMGCATGACGTCACAGGATTTGTTTCCAATTCCAATTCACAAATAATTTTGAAATTATCAAAATAAATCYTTACAATTATATTACAAGCCAAGCTAAATTAAAATTGCGTTAAATACCTACAAACRCAATTTTCTGGCCAATCACAAGGGGAGAAGAAAGCACAAAGCMCAAAGTGCGAAGGTTGAAAATTACAGCTTTCCCGGAAGCTACCGCGCCCAACTTGCTAAGCTGTAGCGAAAAGGGGCGTAGTTACCGAGGTTTTCTGCTTTGCTTCATGGGCCGGATGCACTTCTTAATATCAAGATGGCTTAGGGAGTGACGAAAGAGTCAATGGCCATCCTCTATATTAAACTTATTGAAGCCAGAATTCATTCTACTTTTGGCTGTAYATTAATTAGTTCCCCAGAAAAAAAAGCAATAAAATGAAATTAAAATTTTGCCCCGACAAACGAAACAGCGTTGATTATAATCCATATGGTTTCTCTTTAGAAAGTTATTTTTGGGCAGAAAACGTGAATTTTTTGAGCTCATAAGAAATCAGTGAATTCACTCAAAGGTTTTAAGAGATGACATTTGCTTAGCCCTCTAAAAAGGACCATTTGCAAAACAATTCAAATTTTGCAGTAAAATAAACAGTTTGGGATACGTTCCGTCGTGTTACCCCATGTGACGTCACCAGGCGGGTCAAATCCAACCAATCACAGCACGCCATCCTGGAGCCTTTGGTTTCTCATTCCTAAACATAAAACTTCACACATTAGTGTTTGTTTCTATTTATTTTATTATTCTGATCGAGAAAGAATTTATCTTCCAAAGAAGGGAATTATTGTATCGATCGACCTTATGTAGATCTGGTGACGATTCGATGTTGTTGGAGGAGAATTGACGAGTGAGTTTTTTTGGATCTCAAAGGTGGAGTTTCTCTTTCAACATGGAGACTCCTTTAGACGTCCTTTCTCGAGCTGCTTCGCTGATGAATCCAAAACAAAGAGCTGGTGAGTTACGATTACTTGTTATTTATGCTATCCCGCCTACTCGTGAGGAATTCCATCAATCTAAACGTCTCTGAAACYTTCCGATGAACTTCGCTGAACCGCATGCTCGATTCGACATTCTGAAAGAAATTTCGTCCTAGTTGCATTATTGCTGGAAATGACAGTGTAAAAGATCTTTCACTTGGCTTCCGATCGACTTTACTGTAACATCATAAAGTGTACATCATCTAGATTCGATTGCAGATAAATTTCTCCGTATCAAATGGCCGTGAAAAAAATACAAAGCCAATCATGGTTACTAAGCAATCGGATCAATGGCACGAMCATGAAATCATCAGAGCTGAGCTATGTTAGGAATTCTGCACATATTTTCTCGATATGACAACACGGTATTCATAAAATGTACATACCACGCATCGCTCAAAGACATCGTCTTCTAAAGGGAACAACACCGCATAAACGATCGTAAAGAGAGATTTCTTGTACACGCCTTGAAGCTGAAAGAATTCTWAAATTTACGTAAGTTTAATTCAGGCTACTTTGATTGAGCTTTTCTGGCTATAAACTTCGCCAAAAGTGAAATTATCAGAGCGTTTATGCGTTTCGCACGTTGTTTGGATGCCTCCGACATTTTTTAGCTCTGATAAAATGCTTTACTTCAGACTTTTCTAATCGRTAAAGTAAGTCATTTTTGATCGCTTTAGTATTGTGAAAAAACCGCTTCACAATGCCAAAGCCTCGTAAGTTGATTCMACTTTCGCATTCACAGTATTTTTTACAAGATCAAAGACATTCTTCGGAGTTTATATTTAATCCACACGATCGCAGCGATCAACGTAGTTTAGTGATGCTATCTCGCCTGCTTTTGTTATCCCAGACTAGAATTTTTTACATTTTTACGATWCATATCTTTTTTACTGTTTACGGTATTGAAATTGTCTTCGAAGTCTCGGAGAATCCATTTCGAATCATCCAGATTTTCGAAGTTCGATCTCGCATGAAAATCAYATTCTATAATTAAACTTATTAGTTCATAATTTAACTCTTGTTTTACAGTAAAGCCTTTTTATTTTACTTATATACTTTTTTCTAGAGTGGCTAATGTATAATCTTTTTCCTTTGCTTTTCAGATCCAGATTCAAAGTTCATTTGTATTGACGATCAATCAGAAGTTGAATTGTCTGAAAATCCTCGAAAAMGAAATTATCTTAATCTAAAGAATCCTGTCAAAACTGCCTGCACTCAAACGTAAGTACACAAACTTACTGTTTTTACTATATACTAGGTGATAAGAAAATTCCTTTGCTGTACTAATGTATATATTTAGGTTAAAATCCGCTACATTAAAATCTAAGCCCTAAATTAAGGGGGAAAAAAATCATATTTACTATTTTATTTACTTTGTTAATAACACGTACATAGTGAGCTTTAGATGAATGTTTTAAATTTTTGTTATATTAGCTGTTTTAGTTTTCTTTGTCATACTTTTTTCTGTCATTGTTGGAGTTTTTGCTTTGATAAATGATGRTGAATAATTAATTTATGATAGTTCCAATTTATAAGGCTATTAGGTGCATAATGCATGATTAAACAGCAAAAAATAACTTTGAGTTTCTTTTAAAAATTAAAATGAATAATGTTATTTGTTAAGCGTTCTCAAAATGCTTGACCTAAACATTTTCAGTAGTATAGCCCTTCAGCTAGTAATGCTGAGAAGTTTCTAGCCAATAGAGARCTCTTAGTGGCATAAACTAGTACAAATTATCTACTGGACCATTGGCCTGTCGTCTAAATGTGCAGAAACTCCATCCTCGGCTTGGAAGGGAACTGAGAAATGGAGTATTCTATAATTGACTTTTTGGACTGTARTGTACCATAAGGATTGAGGCTTTCAAAATGAATTAGTGAGAGACAGTGAGAGAAAGAAATGATAACCTAACCTCTGAAATATCTCCTCATCCCCCCACAAAAAAAGAACTCACTTCCCAGATGTACTGATTTTTGTTATCTGTATYCTTATTTTCTTATTTAGATCGCCTTTAAGTCCCTTACCAAAGACACGAATYGAATCAGGTCCACCACCTCTTATTTCACTAACAAATAAAGAACRAATGGATTCAACACAAGTTTCAGTCTCTCGGCCATCAGTGATCACATCGACCAAGGTCATTCRACAGCCTGTCAATTACATGGAACAGCAAGTATTCCGAACACAAAGAATGTCTACCACTGCTGGACTTCATCGGAGAGAAATTGTCGAAACCAGTATGGTTGATCCTTTTGTTGAAGAACACTTTCGGCGCAGCCTTGGCAGTGATTACAAGCATGTCAGCCCTAACGCAAAGACTGTTGCTGGCTCTGTGGATGATCATTTTGCAAAAGCTTTAGGAGACACCTGGGCTCAAATTAACGGAGGAAACACTAMATCAGCAACGACAAAACCTAACACAGTACATTCCTTGGTTTCACCAKCAACCTAACTTAATATGGAGTGACTTCAGGCCAAAATGCTTGCAATTTTTAATAAGACAAATTCACACTCCTGTAACCRCAGAAAGAAGAGTTATTTGTGGTGGAGCATTTGGATTAACTTCCATGGTATTCAACGACATTCATTCTTTGTCTACTCTATTCTACTTAAAATATACTTATGCAGCAAGAGGATCATTATTCTTCAAAAATTATTTTCTGAAAATGAATGTTGAATGTAGAAAATTTATGAGTAATCCAGTACCACAYGCAGCTGGATTTTCATTGCTCCCTAAGTACAGTACHGCTTTTGTAAGGTTAGGTGTAGTGCTATTGTTTGGATGACTAATCTATTGTTTTTTAATCCAATCATGCAACTCGTTCCGAGCGGTACGGGTACGGGCTCGCTCAAATCTATAGACAAAAGTGCCATTCAGTTTTATTTGCTTTTTAAAAGTGCAAGAGTTTCTTAAAAAGGCAGGAAAAAAACATACAAAACGAAATGAATTGTTTGAAAAGAAACCTTTCAGTCTGTTTWTTTTTACTGAAAAACTCTTAATTCATTTGAGATATTTGAATACTGTTACATCTACTTAAATGATTGGTAGGACACAGTTATTCAAAAGTCAAAATTTAACAGCAATGTTTAGTCAACCTTTATGTACTACAGTGTGTCTGCACTTGGGTATGTGACTTTATTTAAGTGCAGATAGTCAAAACCAGGCTGCTATAAATTTTGGGCTGTTACGCCAAAAGCATCAGCAGCACAAGAAAGGGATAAAAATTGTGATAAAAATTTCAAAAGTTTCAAATTATTGGGTTGTGTGTTCGATTGATTGTTATATTATTGAAGTTTGTAGTTTTGGCATAACATGTGCATAGTCATTTTAATCATTGTGTCAAGGTAACTATTAATGTATCAGATTTGTTGTTTATCTTGTYGTTGGGGCTTACAAGCTTTTTGTAGCTATTTCTCTTGCCCTAACTTCTCTTTACTTGGCGTGAGCCATCCATGCAGCTCCTTTAAGCCAATCAAGCGAGAGGGAAGTACATAAAAAATACATGCAAAGCTGATATTCAAGATTCAACTCACCACAATACTCCTTTTTACAGTTCCGTTCAGTGACCACAAAATAATAGTTTTAAGTCAAGTCTGGAGTTGCCGAGCATGTAAAACTATAGTTTTTATCATGCATGGCGACTTCAATCTTGGCTTGGAACTATTATTCACTGAAMAGAACTAAAAAATTGAGTATTGTACTATTTTATAAAAAAAATAGCTTTTTTGCTTTAAACATTTTTGAAATTCAGTTTGATCCTAAAATTTATATCTCTTAAATCATGTTCCAATGTACATTTCTTTGTAATTATTAAGCATTCATAGATTTTATTAGAGAAAATAGATGGTTATTTGTAGTTTCTATGCAAAATTTAAGGAAGGCTTCAGTTTAATTGAAGTTTTTTTAGTCTTGTAAAATGTAAATGATTTTTTATTCTAATTGATAACTCATTTAATTTAAATCTGAGCAGATTTTATTGCTTGTTACTATTTATTATATATTGCATTATTGTAAATAGAGATTGGAATTAYGCATAAATAAAGTTCTGAAAAATGCTTGTTGAAGTTGTAGTGGAATTTGAAAATCACAATACCAGGTCTCATTCTGTCTTGATGGCTAGCGGCAGACTTAGGGAGGGAGGGGTGGGGTGACCTTAAATTTTCAATAGACCCTTTCACCTTTGGCACAATGCTTTGCTTGTCACGCAAAATCTCGGAAGTGGGCTATTAAAAAGGGGTGGGATGATAGTTGTACATTTTAAGGTTACAGGACGTGTGCAATACTCCCATTTCCAGTTCACCTAGTTTACTCAGTCTTGGCCTTGATTGTGGTACAAATGTGTTCTTTTCTTTTAACAAGGCCCATTGTATAGTAAGGAATGTACGCATTACAGAACAATATGAGTTGATTAAAACTCCTCAGGCTTTGGTTGAATGGCTGAATATTGTGCAAAAGAGAACTCGGAACTGGAGTATTTGGTATATTTTATGGTGTCACAAATCTAAATGTTCCACCAGAGAGTAAACCAAGTACCTCTTAGGGTGTTTTTCAGGTAATAAGATTTATCTTTGGTTCATCATCTGACTCCTCTCATTTAGATAAAAAATAATTAGCATCTTTTAGTGGTAAAAATTAATATTAAATGCGACTTCCCACCTGGACAAGACTCTGGAATCTTTTATTTATTACTTTCAAAATTTCCGAGAGGCATCCCCTCGATCGTATACATAAGAGTCCCCTCGGGTTCAGATTTCGTCTGTTTACTAAAATAAATACCACTTGGGCTTCCTGTGTCCAAAGGGCAATTCAAGATGGCTGCCGAACAAGACGACAAGAAAKCGAATTTTCTTCAATTCGTTCCTCTTTCCAGCGCTGTTGATGCAGTTTTCTGGCATAAACTTAAGGATAATAAGCTAAATGTTTACCAGCTTGATGATAAGCCTAGRTTCTTGCAAGGATACTACGTGAATAGTAAGTCGAAATTATTTTTGRGGGAGTTTCGTTTATAATGAAATATTTTTACTAAAATGAAAACATTACCTCATAGAGGAGAAATTTCTTATATTCAACGGGGTTTATTCGGACATAAATCCGTCTATATACTAAATTAAGGTAGCAAAATGACATATATTCCAGTTATTTCTGTGATAAGAGAAAACATCTGACGTTTGTGACAGCTTCACAAGTTATCTTGTCAGGACAAGTTTGAAAATTGAATTTTCAAGATTATTATCCACTGTTAATCCAAAAACATACRCACACTCTCTCCTTATGGGGCTGAATAATCCTAGATCCTTTCCCCTCCCCTCYAAGGAATCTCATAATTCCTATTACTGGGGGGCAGGAGGTATTTGCATTAGGGTGGCTTGTAACTGGAAGAATATTTGTGTTGACTAGTGGTCTTATAACCGGTGGGCTTATTTTTGGGGGTAGGTCTCATGGTATATCATTGGGGAGCTTATAACCAGTCCATATGGTAGTCTTCAACTCCCCCAAGTTTGCTTTTAGCTAAGTAATAGRAATATTATTATTTGGGTAAGAAGATGTGGTACAGTAGGTAATATAGTTGGCTGGCTGAGCTCCCAGATTGTTATGTTGAGTGCAATAGTTACCATGGGTGGCGTAGTGGTTTACTGCTCACCTCTCACCGCTGTGGTCTGGGTTCKAGSCCCGGCTCAGACKGGATCATATGTGAGTTGAGTTTGTTGGATGTGTTGTTCTCTCCCTTGCCTCGAGGGTTTTCTCTGGGATCTCCAGCAAGCAATTCAGAAACTATTAATGCCGATTTGTTTTTACAAGGTGATTTGCCAGGATTGCCATGCCGTTTGAATATTGACTACAATGCTTTTGAACTGTAAGTTATAGTCTTGCTGCCCCTCCCCTCT